CTCTCTCTCTCTCTCTCTCTCTCTCTCTCTCTCTCTCTCTCATCTTCTCTATCTCTCTCCCTCTCTCTCCCTCTCTCTCCCTCTACTCACTCTCTCTCTGTGTCTCTCGCAGCACGCTACAGATGTTGACCAGCATAGAGAACCGGCTGGAGGAGCTGTTTGAACTGCTAGAGACGATGCCACAGGACATGGTGGAGGCAGCAGAGAAGGTGGGACCTCTCACCTCATACACACGCTCACACTCTCACCTCTCACCTCATGCTCACTCACTCACTCACTCACTTTCATTCTCGTTTGCTCACTCACTCGTTCACTCCCTCACGCTCACTCAACACTTGCTCGTTCAGATACTCACACACTCTCTATCTAAAGCTCGCTCACTCACGTACACATTCACTTATCCACTCACTCACTCGTATTAATAATAATAGTAATAATTATAAATGATAATAATAATAATAAACAAGTGATATTCCTCGATTCTCGAGTGATTCACAAACACGTGCTCCTGTGCACTCACTCACGCACGCACGCACGCACGCACGCACGCACGCACGCACTCACGCACGCACGCACTCACTCACGCACGCACGCACGCACGCACTCACGCACACGCACCCTCTCACCTCACGGAACGATTCGTCTCTTCACGTCTAGGCGAAGGAGAAGGAGAGGAGGATGAAGCTGAGGGAGGAGAAGATGGAGGCGCAGCGGCAGCAGCAGGAGGACAGGCTGCGACGCGCGCTAGAGAGAGCAAACGCCGACCCCAAGAAGAAGACTGGTGAGAGCAAGCGTGGTGATGGGGGGGGGGCGGTATCGTAGCAGGGGTTGTAGAGTTGCTGTTTCGCTCAGGGAGGAGTCTGTCTCCCCCTCTCCCCTCGGATCACAGCTGTTCAATGTGTCGTGGTACCACTGCGACCAGTGACCAGAGGGTACCAACCCCCATGTCTTGCTCTATGTCCCCAAGAGGTCAAGAGGTCTCAATGTGTTGCCCTTCCTTCGTCATCCCTCCATTTTTTACATCGTATTCATGAGAAAAAATGTTCTCTGAATGGCTTCCTTTTAGGAAGGAAGTTGGTGTTTCGCTCGGAGCCGCTGCAGAAGAAGAAGGGTAAGGCGGAGAAGGGAAAGGAGAAGAAGGATCGGGAAGAGGAGGAACTTGCATACTTCTTCACGTAGCCCCTACCAGAAGAATCGTTGTCCGTGTCACAGCCATCATATATAGCTTACGTTCCATAACACATTATATATATTATATATATATATATTAATAAATAAACTAGTTGTGTTATATATCACTCGTATATACTAGATACATGAAATAACTAGATAAATTCATACAGCTTACATTCCATAATGCCATAAATACCCATACTTCCATTTCTCTCTCTTTCTCTCTCTCTCTCTCTCTCTATATATATATATATATACGTACTCGTGTATAATGGTTGCGTTAAGTAACATGATCAGTGCAATACAAGCTATTAACCTGAAAAAAAAACGATGCAACATTTACTCGCAGCATAGATTCTAACCTGAATCATTGAATGTTAGCATAAATAATAACCATAACTCTAGCAGACACAAGCAGCACATGACGCCATGTTTACATATAATCAAGAGCTAATAATACCTTAATATTTATAAAGCCTACGAGTATGAGTATCATTATGAGTGTATTCAGAGGCAGGCCAGAAGGGTTTACAAAAATTACTATTACGGAGAGATTTCTGTTATTGAAGGCTGGGTGCATTTGTAGAAAATGTGAGCGTAGACACATAAGCAATACTTTTAACACAATGTACTCAAGAGATCGGCCAAAAAACTCACTCTTTCATGTAAGACTAGTCGGTACCGTGTCACACGATTTCCTTGCTATAGTGCACTGTTATACATGTGTACGGTGGGCGCGGCCATCTTGAAAATGTTTTGTTAAAATATGACTCTCTGGCGCCATCTCGCGTGAAAAATAATTATAAAGTGCGCATAGCTATATGAAATAAACCGTAATATAGATTCTAATATTATTACACTCCTGATAATAGAGTATAATATAGACGATATTTATATGTATTTACATAAGTAAATTTATGTATATATATAATATATTGTCTATATTATAAATCATAATGTCATTTGTATAGACAAGACAAGACATAGACAATACATATTTTGTTACTTGTGTTTAACCCGACCAGGCTGTGTGACTAACGTCAATACACCTTGCGTCAACGTCAATACACCTTGCGTCAACGTCAATACACATTGCAGGGTATCTAACCCTAGCAATACCGTTTCTTGGAGCTATAACACCTTACACATAACACTACTGTACTGGTAACACATGCATCACAGTCACTAAGCCCGCGCGTAGCGCGGGTTTCAGCTAGTACATATTAAAAGTAGAAACAATTAAGAACCTATTTAAGAATCTTTTGAGCCTAAATTTTCAGAAAGCACCATTTATATAAGAACATGTTGAGGCTAACTTGGAAAAATCTATGTTCTTATACGCGGGTTTTTACTGTATAACAACAAGAGTAATCGTTATGATTTCGTGGAAAACAAAACTCGCACAACAATGCAACCTAAAAATTTATCACAATACGGAGATTTTTTTTTACTTGAGAAGATTGATTGTTTATAATTGATTCAATTATTAATTATTAAGACTAAATAATTGCTGAAAACCGAGCAAGAAGCTCACCTTCTCTTATGCGGCTTTGTTCTAAAGTGCTCCTTCAATGCTTTTTCGTCCTGGAAGTATCTAGCGCAGGTAATGCAGTAATGCTGGGCTGCACCGGGCTTGTCGTGGTCGACGTCCTGGTTGAGCATCTTATCCGCTACACAAGGTACCAAATCATCGTGTATTTGGTCGTGATCTTTCGTTTTTCGCTTAGTCTGCAAATAAAAACAAAGTATGAAATGAGTGAAGGATATGGGCCTAAGCACTAACGTAGATATGGGTTACAGTCTAGTGTAGGCCTAGTAGCAAAAATTTAAATATACTATTACTTTTAACAGCAACCTGTGTAGGAACTGTTAGTGTTAGTGTTATTGTCTGTGACTTACTGATACTGAATTGACATAGACTACTGACAATAGTAAATACTCACTAAGACTGTACTCTGTACTAGAGACTAGTAGTAGAGTGTAGTCTGTACACCGTCAGGCTTAGCCCGACCAGGCTGTGCGACCGATTGTCTATACCGCTTTACCGGTCTAAACTTAACCCTAGCAAGACCGTTTCTTGGAGCTACGTCACTCGTCAGGTTCAACGTCTGTGCACTCACTTTCATAATTTTTGTTAGATGACTTGAACCTTTTTGTCCTGCCTTTTTCTTACGTCGTCCAGCTGGCGTACCCATTTCGAGTTCGGATTTCTGAGAACAATGATCGTTTTAACCCAAAACCTATGCGAAAAACAAAACGCAAACAGTGCTAAACACGTGGTACACCAATGTTGATCAAAAACTACTGAGACCACATGATCGCACAAGTGGCGACATCTATGGACGCTAATTATTTGTTGTAGTAACAAGCAAGATTACTTTTTCGGTGTCGATAATATTGAAAGATCGTATACTATTTTAGTTATAATGTCGTACAAGTAAAATCAATATCCTTCATGTATAATTAGCAGGGTTACCATAGACAAATCTAGTATCTGTATAGCGTTGCGGTACTAGTACTAGTCATGTCGAAGGCTTCAGTACAAAATACGCATAAGTCATCCCCATCGTTTGGAGCTGCAGGTTAGGTTTGCATCTATATTGAAAATAATTGCCTAAGACTAAGTGCATACGTAGATCCGATACATGTACTGAGCGAGGAGAAGAATGAGTCTAAGTTAAAGCTAGGCCTATTGTTGATACGTAGTAAATTCGACGGTTTGTAATGTACAATGTGAATGTGTGTGGCGGCGTGGCATATATAATTTAAAGAGTTGCAACTTCAAGTTCAACTTGCACGGCTCCTCACTCCAACCACGTTGGCGTAGATAGCAATGCGTTATTTTGCAGGTGATATTATGAGTGTGTCAGGTAGCACCCATGACGATGGCACAACCAACCCATTTAAGATGCCACCTGACAGTAGCATCTTCACCCTCCGTGAACAAGAGAAGAAGAAGAGGAAAGAGGTACATGCACAGATATACAATACATGATATAATAATAATATATGTATATATATATATATCATGTATATATATACATATATTTATATACATATACCGCATATGTGGTTGGTTTAGGTGGTAGTTGTTTTGAGATGCTAGCATTGAATACGTGATGAAACAATGAATTCACAATTTCCTAATGATATAGGACATGTTTTTGTGCGACCTTGGTCGCCCTTACAGGAGAGAGCAAAGCAGCGAAGCTTGCACGTGCACGAGAAAACGACGTATGCTGCGAGGCTCGCCAGGAAGGGCGGGAAGCTGGCGCCGGACGATGTTGCTGCGGAGGACGAGGAGGCGGCGGTGGAGGAGAGTCCGGCAGTCGGAGCCGACGATCCGGCATTCGCCTTGTCCGTAACACGAAGTGAGCGCCATCTCTTCCATCTCTTCGCGTAATCTCTTCCATCTCTTCGCGTACCATCTTCCCATCTTTAACATACGATGTTCGCACATCGCTCTGTTCCCTTGCACAGCATTCTCATTAAAGCTTAGAGGGTGGGTCGCTGGAAGTACGGGTGCCAGGGTGGTGGGGTGGTTATTGGCAGTAAGCCGTTTCTTTTTTAGATCGAAAAATCGAGAAGGAAAACTTGGCGGAGTACATCGAGAAGAAGAGAGAGATGTTCAAGATCCAGGTATTAAATCGTTCATTTAATTAAGAATCAATTTAATAAGTCTGATATAAATCTTAATCTTCTTTTAAAAAGTCTTTAATATTCCTACATCCGTAACTGACGGCAAAAAATATCTACTCTGGGCGGGGCGCACGCGAAGCCATCAGCGACGCTAACATTCGGTTGCCGTGGGCGATGCTAACATTCAGTTGCCGTCGGCGACGCTAACGTTCGGTTGCCGTGGGCGACGCTAACATTCAGTTGCCGTCGGCGACGCCAACGTTCGGTTGCCGTGGGCGATGCTAACATTCAGTTGCCGTCGGCGACGCTAACGTTCGGTTGCCGTGGGCGATGCTAACGTTCGGTTGCCGTGGGCGACAGTACGCGCTCGGGGTGAAGCGAGATGAGATGAAGAAGCTGGAGGACATGGTTACGGCGGAGGAACGGAGGCTGGAGCGCGCCGAGAAACGTCTGGAACAAGACGCGGTCGCCTTCGACGAGTTCCTGAAGGAAAACGACAAGAACGCCGTGGAGGCCATCCGGGTGTAAGTAAAACACGGCGGGGGTCGGTCCGGGTGTAAGTAAAACACGGCGGGGGTCGGTCCGGGTGTAAGTAAAACACGGCGGGGTTGATCCAGTATGTGTAAAATGTGGGGTGTCATCTGGGTGTACGTAAAACCTGGGACGGGGGTTGATTCGTCGGGTGTATGTAAAATACAGGGTCGTGCGGGTGTAGGTAAAACACGGGGGCGATCCGGTTGTGTATAAAACACGGGGACGTGTTGTCCAGATGTATGTATAACAACACGGGGGGGGGGGGGGGTCGTCAGGGTGTATGTAAAATACAGGGTCGTGCGGGTGTAGGTAAAACACGGGGGCGATCCGGTTGTGTATAAAACACGGGGACGTGTTGTCCAGATGTATGTATAACAACACGGGGG